CAATTTAGAAAACATAATTCTGCTTTGACATTATAGGGCATTGTGTGTAGGCCAGTGACATACAATCTTAATTGAATCCCTTTAAAATTCAGGCCGTAACACAACAAAATGTGGAAAAAGTCAAGGGGTGTGAATACTTTCTGAAGGCACTGTAAGTAATTTAGAAGACGCTCTTATTGTCACGCCCTGGCTCTGGGGACTTTTATATGTTGAGCCAGGGTGTTAGTTTCTATGTGTTAGTTTCTGGGTGTTAGGTTCTATGTTTCGTTTTCTATGTTCTTGTTCTAGTTTATGTGTTTCTATGTTGGCCGGGGTGGTTCCCAATTAGAGACAGCTGTGGCTCGTTGTCTCTGATTGGGAACCATACTTAGGCAGCCTGTTGTGCACTTGTCATTTGTGGGATCTTGTTCCGGAGAGGTTTTGTGTTTGTTAACCTTAGGACTTCACGTATCGTTTTGTTCATAGTATTAAGTACTCATTAAAAGATGTACGCATATCACGCTGCGCCTTGGTCTGCTTCATACGACGATCGTGACACTTATCCAGAGCGACTGATAGTTAGTATGAGCTAAACTAAGAGTTGGCCTCACACATGAGCTAAGAATTGGCCGCACATACACTAAGTTTTGGCCTCACATACATTTAAGAGTTGGTCTCACATGAGCTAAGAGTTGGCTTCACAAGAGCTAAGAGTTGGCCTCACACATGAGCTAAGAGTTGGCCTCACATAAACTAAGTTTTGGCCTCACTTACATTTAAGAGTTGGTCTCACATGAGCTAAGAGTTGGCCTCACATGAGCTAAGAGTTGGCCTCACATGAGCTAAGAGTTGGCCTCACACATGAGCTAAGAGTTGGCCTCACACATGAGCTAAGAGTTGGCCTCACATGATAGTAAGAAGAGTGCAATTATTGTATTTAATCCTGAGGCTGAGTGTGAGTGACATGAAAATATTTCCCAACAAGCATAACAACAGGGGTCAAATGAATGGTCAGTAACAGATCAGAGGTTGAGAGGTAAGGATCTTAGCAAGATTACAGTTCCACAGCATGGCCCTTCATCTGCAATTATGCAATTAGTGTTGGAAGTAAGCCATTGTCATGAGCATCAAGGATAAGGCAAGCATGCCACACAGGCCAGAGCAGTGAATAATATCCCACTCTTATCAGTCACTCTTAAGGGGCCAATGAGTAGGGCCTGTAGATATCCATTACATGACATGTGATATGTATCTCCCAATAGTAATGGCTATCTAGATGGCATCCTCATTGGCTTAGAAATATAAGAGATAAATAACGTTCCCCTCTCCCTATCATTGACCCTTTATTGACCCCTCCAGAGTGATTGATAAGAGTGGTATATTATTCACTGCTTGCAGGTGTTCCATGTTTACCTTATCCTTCAACCAAGGGCTCTAGATTCATCTATTGATTGCTGTCAAGGATGTGCGCTGTTCTCTGTGTTGTTATCAATACCATAATAATTACAGCGGTCATTCCTGTTTGTCACTGTCTCAGTCAGTTCCTGCTGTGTAGAGGTCTGTACGGAACTGATTTCTTCATCTCGCTCCCGCCTGTACCCGCTGGCTTTCTGTGCCACTCCCACCCGCTAACGCAAGAACTGGTCCCCAACCCAAACGCAGTCCCGCAATGTTATTTTCAGACGGAAACAAATATGGGTGATCAATATGTATTTCTAGCCAATGTAGTAAACTATAGCCTAATCATATTTAGGATGTCAATTTCCTTGGGAAGATAAGTTCCCCGTTCTTCTCCGCCTGTGCATAGTCTATAGCCTACTCTGTTGAATTGAGACAACACGCGCACCAGATCATGTACGGCTACTGAACTTGAAGCAGCAAGAATAATGAGAGCGGACATTTACACTTTTTCTTGAGCTACGTTTTGCATATAGAATATAGCCTACCTTTTAGGAGCGGGACGAGTTGCAGGCAGAGACAAATAAATGGGTAATCAATATTTATTGAAAATGGAAAGGCGCAAAGCCTGCTCACTATGGTAGCCTGTGCTCGCGTTGCAACTTTTCCTTTTCAATGATGATCAAATGTATTGATTGCACCTCGACTCACGTTGGTTGAGAACCCTGCACTTCTTTCCATTATCAATATTTATTTAAAGACACTGTAGTAAACTATAGTCTAATCATTTAAAAGTTAATTTCCTTGGAAAGGTAACTACCACGTGATTCTCTGCCCATGTATAGGCAGCCAACTCTATTTCAATGAGACCACACATATAGGCTACTAGGCGCACTTGATCTCGCACGTCCAACTAGGAGAGGTAAAGACGACGTTGAGAGGAGAGGTACTGAAGTAGAAGCAGTGAATTCTGAGTGTGTGAATAAATGCGACAAAGATGTGCTTTTAATACAATAGGTAGACGTAGGCTAACGGATACAAATCAGAAAGACAACCGTTTCCAAATAAACTGCGGGACAACAAAATATATTGTCATCCCAAAGTCATCCCAATGCTGCCCTCTACTGAAGTGGTTTTGATCATGTGCAACTCATGCTGCTATGCTTTCTCCACACACCCTGCAGTGAAGAGCTCTCCCCACATTTGTGCTGCATTTCTTTATTTCTATGGCGAATAGACATGCTCAACCAAATGTTCTTTAGACTGCACGATTTCTCCTGCAGCAACATGGGTCTCTCTCTCGCCCTCTCTTGTTCTCATTTATAATAGTGTTTGTGCTGAGGTCTATGCGACCTCAAGCAGAGCTCTAGAGTTGTGCTCCACTCTGATTGGCTCAGTCACTCTCCTGTTGAGAAGGCCTTGTGACGCATCATTACTATCAATATTAATGACCTTTCAGCCTCTAGCGCCACACAGCAAAATGGGCTATTCATTCATCGCTAGGGAACTGTCTCAGAGCAAGAGTGCTGATCTAGGATCAGGTCCTCCCTGCCCATAAAATCTTATTAATTATGATTAAAATACAAAACTGGTCCTGGATCAGCACTCTTACTATGAGATGCTTTGTGAATGAATATGGGCCCAGTTCCCTATGGATGAATTGATGATGATCTTGCTATCCCATCCATATGATTGCTCTGGATAAGAGCATCTGCTAAATGAAGTAAATGTAAATGTAAATGATGGTGGATTAATTAATGCCTGGGGTGGAGCCACTATCAACAGGTGTAAAAGAAGGTCAAAATAAGCACAATTTTACAAAAATCCTATTTCCTTATAAACATTTTATTCAGTGCATTTTCCTTAGAACAACAAATAACAAACTGGAAGAAGGTACCAGATTAAAAGTGTATCTGTGCTCTGTGGATCATTCCCTTGTAGACTGGTACAGAGTGGAGCACAGGGTCCACAAAAGGTTGATAATAAGCAGAGTAGACCTACAGTACATCATGCTGCTATTTCCCAGAGGTCCACAGTCTCCCATGCAATTATATTTTCAATAAATCAATCAGTCAATCAATCAAAATTATAGACATCAGCATCTATTAGGCTCCAGGGAAAAAACAATGCAGGAGAACACAAACAATCATTTAATCTGCAAGAGCCTCAATGTCACTAATTATCCCCGCTTCATAGTAAAATAAAACATAAAGGATTATGTTATTAGCCTTCAACACACACACACACACACACACACACACACACACACACACACACACACACACACACACACACACACACACACACACACACACACACACACACACACACACACACACACACACACACACACACACACACACACACACACACACACACACACACACACACACACAAATAACACTAAACACACATACATGCAAGCAAATGACTGAACACATCTAAATACAATATGAAATGTAGTTTATAGTTTGTTGTGTCAAAGGAGCCTACTAATGACGCAATACTGTAAAAGGGTTGACATAAGTTTTTAAACAACTACACTGTTCCCCTATTTTATTATTAGAACAAGTTGCTATAGACCACACGTTGTCCGTGTCCAATTACCCAATGCCTACTTGTGTTCTAAATAGTAGGCTGATTGGGTATGAGAAAATAGAAAATGTTATACTATGACACATTCTGAAAATGGAGTATGCTTTAAATGCCAGGATGTCATACTCATTTAGACTTTTCATCTAGTACAAATTCTCTGCATGCTATTGAGGAAGCCAATTTTCTTTTTAGACCTACGTGTGTTTGACAACATCAACATTATCAGCTGATAATCAAAAAAAGGGGAAGAGTTGTACCAAAATGAATGAATGTCGGGAAACAACGCAATTGTGCATTAGATGGCGCATTCTCAGTATGGGTGAGCCTAGTATGTTGATATTTGTTGCTTACTGCATAAATGTTTACTAAACAGTACATTCTAAATAGTATGTAGTACGATTGGTACACACTACACAGTATGTCGTTAGTAGTAGTAGGCAAGAGGGATTTAGGACATGGCCTATGCTTGTGATTCAATTTCCTTCTTTCTTTCTTCCTTTCTTTGCCTTGAGTAAAACTAGAGAAACACGCTTGACTCTTTGGTACACAGGAACAAATTATCACAATCAGTATAGCTGGCAAGCAGTTTATATGGCAGACGAAGCAGAAGGCTTGCAGATATGTACACCCTGGACTCAAACACACAAAAAAGCTTTTTTTAGGAGGCATGAAAGCAACAGTTCACGGACCACATAAATACTGACCAGTAACTCTCCCTCTCAAGACCTTTGGAGAGATATACATGGGTAATACGCTACATATGCTCAAGAATACAAGGAAGAATATAAATTTCAGACCAGCAAAATGGCTTAGGCTTTACGTATCGAAGTTCATAGCAAAGTTGACCCGCAGAAGCTCGCTCATGGATTGATTTAATTGATGATGTCATAGTCTGTCACAGTGGTTTCAGTACACACTAAGCTAACCTAATTTGCTTCCTCTCCACCTGTTCAGTTTGACGAAGATCAGTTGAGTCTGCTTACGATGAGACTGTGAGAGCCGCCTCTGCCCGACGCTGACCCCCACAGCTATGTGGACTGCTCGTTCTGGCTCAGCGGCTTCCCTCCTCCGTTCAGCAGGGCCGATGCACTGCGGCTCTTAGTGGGAGTACCGCTGTCGGAGCGGGAGAACTCGGTCAGATCGTGGAGAGACGGTTCCCTGTACATGGCAACTGGAAGACAAAGAGGCAGAGATGGTAAAGATAAACTCTGGGTATCTGTATTGTGCAGAGGTCATGCCTTTGACAAACATGATATTCTTCTGCAATATACTAGGGTGAGTCTTTCTAACAAGCCCCTTAACTCCAACAGTTCCCCCAACAACCTTCAACACAGATACACACACACACACACAGACTCTCAGAGTAAGACCCTCTCAGAGTAAAGGCGTCAGCATGCTTCCGTTCGACTCCCTTAAAAGAGAAAAAAGTGGCAATAGTACTGTTTGTCCATTTTGAACGCCATAGCCAGTATACACGTCCTCAAAATAGTCAGAATTAAGATAACTCAAGAAATCTGCTATATAAATTGCTGTCATTAATTTTGACGTTTTTGCCAAGGATTTCTTAGTCGCGCAATTTTACATCTAACTAATATTTTTGGTGCAGTATTTCTCAATGAAAAATGTGCATGAATAAAGAAGTTGTCTCTTGTTGAATGACAACAAATACTTTATTGAAGAATCTCTATTGTTGACCAAATCACAGACGAAGGGGCGTAGACTTTGGCTACCGACTTTGGTTTGCCTCCATAAAAATGTTTGTGTGTCCGAACAGCCGGGACAAAAACGCTCAAAAACGTCACAAAATGTCGTCATAATATATGCATCAACCATTCAGAACTGTTTCGGCTGGGAAGCATGCGGACGCCTTAAGACCCACTCATAGCCTCTCAGAGTAAGACCCACTCACCTTTCAGTGGCTTGGGGATGAAGTGGCCTGACGGTTTATTCTTCTTCACATGGTTCCCCTTCATGATGACCCCCTCTTTGTTGAGGCCAAGGTACCAGGCCCTGCCCGACTGCTGCTGTCTGTAGATCATGGAGGAGTAGGTCACGTAGTAGTTCTCAAACACAGACTCCTTGAACTTACACTCCGGGGTGAAGTGTTCCTAAAGAGGGAGACAGAGAGGAGATAAAGACAGGAGTGTGAATGTAAGCAAAAAAAAAAGAGAGAAGAAAAGAGAGAGGAGAGAAAGAAGAGAAAAGAGAGAGGCAGAGAAAGAGAGAGGCAGAGAAAGATAGAGGGAAGACAAGAAAGAGAGAGAGGGAAGAAGAGAGAGGAGAGAAAGAGAGAGGCAAGAAGAGAGAGGCAGAGAAAGAGAGAGGCAAGAAAAGAGAGAGAAAGAGAAAGGGCAAAAGAGGAAAGAGAGAGGGAGAGAAAGAGAGAGGATAAAGAGAAGTGAGATAAGAGAGAGTAGAGAAAGATGAGAGGAGAAAGAGAAGAGAGAAGATAGAGGCAGAGAAAGAGAGGCAGAGAAAGATGAGAGGGAAGAAAGAGAGAGGGAGAGAAAGAGAGAGGCAAGAATAGAAAAGAAGAGAGAGAGAAAGAGAATGAAGAAGAAGAGGAGAGAGAGAGTCAGATAAGAAGAGTATAGAAGAAGGGGAATAAAGAGAGGGGAAGAAGAATATAGAGAAGATAAGGCAGAAGAAAGAAGAAGAGGTAAAGAAAGAGAGAGGATAGAAAGAGATAGAAAGAGATAATAAAGAGACAGAGAAAGAAGAGATAGGCATATAAAGAAAGGAGAGAAATGAGAGAGGCATAAAAAGATAGAGCAAGAAAGAGAGAGGCAGAGAAAGAGAGGCATATAGAAAATATGAAGAATAGTATGAAAGGAAGTAGATAGATAGAGAAGAATAAAGAAGATAGAATGAGAAAGATATATAAGAAAGTAGAGTGCAGAGAAAGATAGAGCAGAGAAAGTTGAGAGGAGAAAGAGAGAGGCAGAGAAATAGAGCACAGAAAAGAGATAGGGATAGAAGAATAGGGAGAGAAACAGATAGCAGATAAAGAGCGAGGCAGATAAATAGAAGTCAGATAATTATAGAGGTGAAGAGAAATAGATAGTGTTAGATAAAGAAAAGATAGATTCAGATAAGATAGATGTATAGAAACAGATAGGCAGATAAAGAGCGAGGCAGAGAAATATATATTCAGATAACTATATAGTATATAAAGATATATCAAGAAATGATAAAGGGAGTAGAAGATGGATGTGAGAGGAGTTATTCACTATGGTGAATCAACTTAAAACAATACAGAAATACACTACGGAAAAAGAAGGAACACATGTCAGAAATCAGCTCATGTAATTGAAGAATCCATAGAATCTAAACCACTTCTGGGAAAATTGGAAAACACTAAACAAACAACAACACGAAGAGCTATCTATCCAAAACGGAGATGTATGGGTAAACCACTTCTCCAATCTTTTTGGCCCTATAACAGAGAACAAACAGCAAAAAAATATACATGATCAAATGCAAATCTTAGAATCAACTATTAAAGACTACCAGAACCCACTGGATTCTCCAATTACATTGAATGAACTACAGGATAAAAATACAAACCCTCCAACCCAAAAGGTCCTGTGGTGTTGATGGTATCCTCAATAAAATGATAAAATATACAGACCACAAATTTCAATTAGCTATACTTAAACTCTTTAACATCATCCTTAGCTCTGGCATCTTCCCCAACATCTGGAACCAAGGACTGATCACCCCAATCCACAAAAGTGGAGACAAATTTGACCCCAATAACTACCGTGGGATATGCGTCAACAGCAACCTTGGGAAAATCCTCTGCATTATCATTAACAGCAGACTAGTTCATTTCCTCAGTGAAAACAATGTACTGAGCAAATGTCAAATTGGCTTTTTACCAAATTACCGTACGACAGACCACGTATTCACCCTGCACACCCTAATTGACAAACAAACAAACCAAAACAAAGGCAAAGTCTTCTCATGCTTTGTTGATTTCAAAAAAGCTTTTGACTCAATTTGGCATGAGGGTCTGCTATACAAATTGATGGAAAGTGGGGTTGGGGGAAAAACATACCACATTATAAAATCCATGTACACAAACAACAAGTGTGCGGTTAAAATTGGCAAAAAACACACACATTTCTTTCCACAGGGCCGTGGGGTGAGACAGGGATGCAGTTTAAGCCCCACCCTCTTCAACATATATATCAACGAATTGGCGAGGGCACTAGAACAGTCTGCAGCACCCGGCCTCACCCTACTAGAATCTGAAGTCAAATGTCTTCTGTTTGCTGACGATCTGGTGCTTCTGTCACCAACCAAGGAGGGCCTACAGCAGCACCTAGATCTTCTGCACAGATTCTGTCAGACCTGGGCCCTGACAGTAAATCTCAGTAAGACAAAAATAATGGTGTTCCAAAAAAGGTCCAGTTGCCAGGACCACAAATACAAATTCCATCTAGACACCGTTGCCCTAGAGCACACAAAAAACTATACATACCTCGGCCTAAACATCAGCGCCACAGGTAACTTCCACAAAGCTGTGAACGATCTGAGAGACAAGGCAAGAAGGGCCTTCTATGCCATCAAAAGGAACATAAAATTTGACATACCAATTAGGATCTGGCTAAAAATACTTGAATCAGTTATAGAACCCATTGCCCTTTATGGTTCTGAGGTCTGGGGTCCGCTCACCAACCAAGAATTCACAAAATGGGACAAACACCAAATTGAGACTCTGCATGCAGAATTCTGCAAAAACATCCTCCGTGTACAACGTAAAACACCAAATAATGCATGCAGAGCAGAATTAGGCCAATACCCGCTAATTATCAAAATCCAGAAAAGAGCCGTTAAATTCTATAACCACTTAAAAGGAAGCGATTCCCAAACCTTCCATAACAAAGCCATCACCTACAGAGAGATGAACTTGGAGAAGAGTCCCCTAAGTAAGCTTGTCCTGGGGCTCTGTTCACAAACACAAACAGACCCCACACAGCCCCAGGACAACAACAACAACAACAACAACACAATTAGACCCAACCAAATCATGAGAAAACAAAAAGAGAATTACTTGACACATTGGAAAGAACAAACAAAAAAACAGAGCAAACTAGAATGCTATTTGGCCCTAAACAGAGAGTACACAGTGGCAGAATACCTGACCACTGTGACTGACCCAAACTTAAGGAAAGCTTTGACTATGTACAGACTCAGTGAGCATAGCCTTGCTATTGAGAAAGGCCGCCGTAGGCAGACCTGGCTCTCAAGAGAAGACAGGCTATGTGCACACTGCCCACAAAATGAGGTGGAAACTGAGCTGCACTTCCTAACCTCCTGCCAAATGTATGACCATCTTAGAGACACATATTTCCCTCAGATTACAGCGATCCACAAAGAATTCGAAAACAAACCCAATTTTGATAAACTCCCTTATCTACTGGGTGAAAAACCACAGTGTGCCATCACAGCTGCAAGATTTGTGACCTGTTGCCACAAGAAAAGGGCAACCAGTGAAGAACAAACACCATTGTAAATACAACCCATATTTATTTTTATTTATTTTCCCATTTGTACTTTAACTCTTTGCACATTGTTACAACACTGTATATATACATAATATGACATTTGAAATGTCTTTATTCTTTTGAAACTTCTGAGTGTAATGTTTACTGTTAATATTTATTGTTTATTTCACTTTTGTTTACTATCTACTTCACTTGCTTTGGCAATGTTAACATACGTTTCCCATGCCAATAAAGCCCTTAAATTGAAATTGAATTGAATTGAAAGAGAGAGGCAGAGAAAGAGAGAGGGAGAGAATGGAATAACTACCTGGCGTGAAGCACTACGAGAATCTGTCCAGAGCAGTACAGAAGGCTGAACTAAAAGTTGGGACCAATTCCATTTCTATGGTTGGGAGACTTTTGCGTGCACAGCTTACAAATCAGCATAGGCCTGCCCCAAAGGGCCCAGCTGCAAATCTACAGTAAGAGGTCCCTTACAACTGATCACTTTCAGAATTGAGTTGTGAAAACCTCATTTGACTGACGAGCTGAATTGAACTGGCTTGCCATACTGTGTGAACATGCCTATGATGGTAATCTCAGACTATTGGAGCCACCATAAGCCATCCCATCACACTTACAGCTCGCTCAGATTGTGGTGGCGAGCTGATTACTTTTCAACTGCATAGTTTGAAAACAGACTCATTCAATTGCCAGACAAAGGTCAATACTTTCATTGGCAAAGATCGATACAAAACCTCATTCTGGCAAGAGATATCCAGAGACAACAATGTTTATGGTGATAACACTCACACACACACACACACACACATCCAATCATACGCACGCGCGCACACACACACACACACACACACACACACAGGCTAGGCTTCAGGCAACTTAGCTAAATAAACAGAGTGAATCTAAATGCAGTGTTTGAAATTCAGCCCATGCTTTATTTTTCCATCCACATTGCGAAATGACCTCATCAGAGCTGAAATAATCCCAACTTCAGAGGGTTGACATTAGCATTTCCATACTCATGTGTCTCCATGGTAACTTGCAACTCCACAGAATACAAACCATCACTCTCATAAAGATAGCCCCCAGGTTACCAATGGGGACATAAACAAAGTGACAAGATCACTATTACAAGTTAAAAACACAATGTGGTTGCCACTGCCACACTCACAGCAGCAACTACTGCACAACTACTGACCTTAGTCATCACTCCAGTCACTTTGGTTTTCACACCAACAATTGATGCTTAAATATAATTAACATGGCAGTTAAGGTGACCTTCAACGTAATCAATTAGCTCAGTAACACAGGTAATAGTATACTTAAGCAATAAGGCACCTCTGGGTTTGTGGTATATAGCCAATATACCACGGCTAAGGGCTGTTCTTAGGCAAAACACAATGCGGTATATTGGCCATATACCACAAACCCCTGAGGTGCCTTATTGCTATTATAAACTGGTTACCTATTAGAGCAGTAAAAATAAATATTTTGTCATACCTGTGGTATAAGGTCTGATATACCACAGCTGTCAGCCAATCAGCATTCAGGGCTCGAACCAGCCAGTTTATAATGTGATATACGACCTGCCACATGGAAACCTAGCTAGGAAAAGTGTGTAGGAGACCCAATGAATTCGGCAGGTAGTCTAGCAATTAAGAGTGTTTGGCTAGTAACTGAAAGGTTGTTGGTTTGAATCCCCGAGCCGACTAGGTGAAAAATCTGCCGAAGTGCCCTTGAGCAAGGCACTTAACCCTGGATAAGAGCGTCTGCTAAAATGTAAAGTGAGACTCACCGAAGTGTAAAGGAAGCCGTCGTTGTTCATGGCTAGGTAGAGCTTGGTCTGAACCCCCTGGATGGCCACCACTCGCAGCCCAACAGGAATGAGGTTGAACACAGCTGCAATGTGGAATCCAAAAGAAAGGATGGGTTGTACACTCTTAGAAAAAAGGGTTTTTCTGTTGTCCCCATTTTTGGTTCCAGGTAGAACACTTTTGGTTCCAGGTAGAAGACTTTTGGGTCCAGGTAGAACTCTTTTTGGTTCCAGGTAGAACTCTTTTGGTTCCAGGTAGAACCCTTTTTGGTTCCAGGTAGAACTCTTTTGGTTCCAGGTAGAACCCTTTTTGGTTCCAGGTAGAACTATTTTGGTTCCAGGTAGAACCCTTTTTGGTTCCATGTAGAACTCTTTTGGGTTCCATGTAGAACCCTCTGTGTAAAGGGTTCTACATAGAACTCAAAGGGGTTCTACCTGGAACCAAAAGAGTTATACCTGGAACCAAAAAGGGTTATTCAAAGGGTTATCCTATGGGAACAGCCGAAGAGCCGTTATAGGTTCTAGATAGCACTTTTTTTTCTGAGTGTAGACTGTATAAGGGAAACATTCTACCAGAGATGTAATAGGGAACATAGAGCTACAGAAAATGTTGAGCAAAAGAAGTGAAGCCGACTATTCTCTCTTCTTGAATTCAATATCACAATCATCTGAAATTTGAACGAATTCAAGGCAAAAACACAGTCAAATACAAATAGTCCTACCATAGCTGTTGTCCTCGTCCTTGGTTCCATCGATGGTTCCATCTGCCTGCATCTGAAGGCAGAAGCCTGTGCGGCTGTACAGCCTCGTCACTATCCCCTTGAGCTGGGGCTCTGTGGAGACAACAGGGCAGAACGTGAGAACAGGAGGAGAGGGAAGAGAGAAGGAGAGAGGAGATAATAAAAAAGACATATACCAAGTCTATAGTCCAACTCTACTAGCTAGTTTGCTACTGCTTCACACACAGTCAGTAGTAAACCACCCGAGGAACCTCAGGCATCCCATAGACATCACACAAACCCAAAACAGTGTGATGGGTACCTGGGATAGTGATGGCCGGCCATGCAATATCAAGCTCATTCATAGTTTCAAAAACAGGTGATCTAGCTGTCTGGATACTGTACACTGACACTGTGTTTTGAATTTCATTCTTGTTAAGATGATAATTTCATGCGCAACAGAAACATGGCAGTGTGAATGTGTTGTGCTCTTATCCGATGATGGCAGTGTCTTAAGTGTTAGAGTGAGGTAATTCATTGATGAGTGTATGGACTTGCAGGAGCACGACAGTTTGATGGATAGATAGTCAAATAATGTATTTCTTATACTATACCATCACAATTTGGACAGAGGTGTAATTACTCCGAGGTCGTCACATTTAAAATGGGATAGGATGGAAGTGTTCGTGGTGTTCGAAGAGTTGGTGGTGATGGTGATGGTGATGATTGTGATGATGACAGTTTTTGTGTTATGTCGAGAAATCACACTCAAGAGCACACCTGGTCGCCTTATTCTCTTCCGTTTCTTAGAGCCAAAGAGTTTGACGCGTGAGAACACGTTCAGCTTGCTCGGTTTCTCACAGGGTCCCCTGTCCCCTGCTTTGCAAATATTCGGACTGCTTGTGCAGCGGCAGGCATTCGCCTTCTCCCGCTCCCGCTCCCTCTTCTGCCGAATGAGGGAGCTGGCGATCGCAGCGGCCATAGCCAGTTTGGCGGCTTAGTGATGGCAAACGTCCCAGAAGAAAATGATATATCCACCACTCACCAAATAATGAATATTATCCAATGAAATCTAAGCAGTATTGTTTTTATGTAAACCAAATAATCCATTATATCCTTAAAGTGCGTAAAAAAGTCAATATAGTTTTATTGTCACAGCTGGAAAAAAATGATTCTGGATATTCCGAGCAGACAAACCTCCCACTGGACATACACTGGTTTAATCAACGTTGTTTCCACGTCAATTCAATGCCAATTCAATGCAATTACGTTGAACCAACATGGAATAGACGGTGAATTGACGTCTGTGCCCAGTGGGCTCGGGCGCCTTCAGCTGTGAATCAACAGCTAGTCTCTCCAATTTATACATTCGATGTGTTGTTGATCACTGCAGCTTCTCCTGCGTGCACACCGGCTGGGATGCATCCATCCACTCTCCGTGAGAAAAAATGCAGTCCTCCAAATGCTTTTCAATCAATGAAACAACTCTTGTCATAGTTGTGTGTGCCATTAATGCAGCAACCGCAAGCAATCCTCTCCTCGGGTTTGGAGCCAATGCCACATAACCTACAGTATGACTTACAGTAAAGAGCTGTTTGTGCCACGTGGTATAACACTCATACATGTTAGGCTATGACGAGAGACACTCATACATGTTAGGCTATGACGAGAGACACTCATACATGTTAGGCTATGACGAGAGACACTCATACATGTTAGGCTATGACGAGAGACACTCATACATGTTAGGCTATGACGAGAGAGAGAGAGAGAGCAAGAGAGAGAGAGAGGTCTTGCCTCATTTTGGTGCAGAGTATCCCCTACTATTCCTTCCACCTCTCCATCTCTGCGATATGAATTGCGGCATAGGAGTCTGAACCAAATGCATTAGGAGAAACTGCGGGCGCTTTTTGCAGGAATCTTCATAACTGAATTTAGGCATCTGACAGGCAAGGCATGAGAAGCTGATGCAAAACGCAGAAAGAAAATGTCGCATCATATAAATCCAGGGAGAACAGAAGATCACTGATAGCATCCTATGGCCCATTGCAAAAATAATAAGGGTAGGGAGGTGTTCCTAGATTTGTGCTTTCTGCTAAAACTAACTTGTTTGCGGCAGATTAAGCTCATTCAGCTCCCCTGTCGCCTCTCCAACAGGGCTGCGGCCATGTGAAGTGAATCTGCATGAGCCTATACTTTCGAGAGGCTTAAATTGGTGCTTTCCGAAGCGCCGAGAACATAAGCTTGAGAAATGTCGTCAGACTCAAGAAAGACTTTGGTGGGGGTCTTCATCTTGGGGTAACATCTGTCTGTTGCCTCTCTTGAGTCAGGTAACAACCACATTTGTCATCAGATTTAAATGTATAGAAGTTTTGTTGTGGTGTCGGATTTGGCGGCATTTTGGCCTATCCTAAATGTAATTAACCTTTCATTCAATAGAATAAAATAAGAATTGTATAGTACAAAAATAATGGGTCTCAGAAAAAAACGGCAATAACAACAATATCGTCAACGACATCAACAATAACAAAAAGTTGATTTGAGTATGATTTGCCCTCAAAAATAAATGAAAGTTGTCGATGAAAGTTAATAGGGGATCAATGAGTGACGCCTCCTAGTTTTATTTGGATGAATAATTAAAGCATAAGCAATCATATTTGTGCTTGAAACTGAATGAGATTGAATGTGAAATAAACATTTCCCCATAAGCTATTATAACTTCCCCCTATTATAACCGTTTTAGTATTTGGCTGAATAATTTCCATAAAATTATAAGTTGCTTCAGTCGTGATATAAATCTCGGTGTTTTGATTATCATTCATTTCATTTGGTGTTCAATTGCCCTCTCTCTGTGGCCCTTTGGTGAAGATATTGGACAGATCATTTCTTCAATTGCCCTCTCTCTTTGGTCCTTTGGTGAAGATATTGGACAGATCATTTCTTCAATTGCCCTCTCTCTTTGGCCCTTTGGTGAAGATATTGGACAGATCATTTCTTCAATTGCCCTCTCTCTTTGGCCCTTTGTCGAAGATATTGGACAGATCATTTCTTCAATTGCGCCACCTGCATTTCATAGAGAATCACTTACACATTACTACCCAATTCTTGTCATCTCGTGTCAACAGTAAAATAACAACCCCATAAAAAAGAAGAATAACAACAACAACAATTAAACTGTGAATAGATCCATTTTTCATTAACATAAAATATAGCAGGAAAGCAAACAAATGTAACTTCAGCACCTTGGACATGGAGCGTCACTTATAACTTCAGCACCTTGGACAGGGAGCGTCATTTATAACTTCAGCACCTTGAACAGGGAGCGTCACTTATAACTTCAGCACCTTGGACAGAGCAAAAGTACACTTCTATTTCTATGAAACACCTATTCAATTATATTCGACAGGGAATGTCACTACATCAGCTCTTTGGACCGTAACCTTTAAGATCAGCACCGTGGACAGCACTCTCTACTCACAAGCGTCACTCCACCAGGGGGAAAACTACTTCAATCCATGCTTACAGGAGCATTAGGCGAGGGCATCAGTAGGAAAGCCTAATATTTGATTGAATTTACCTGGGCCTCCTTCCAAAACAAAACGCTTTTTTTTTGTTAGATTAGTCTAAATTTTAATAATAAAATGTATTTAAATGAGCGCACCTGATGTTGATCTCCGGAGAGGGAAAGTCATGCTTCGCGGAGCCAAGGAGGAGCTCTTTGTTAATGTTTTAGCTCTTCCCGATATGCACAGTGAAAGGGGAGAGGACTTTTCGAAGTTTAAACGGAGAATTCTCAAAGGCATTCCATCCATTAAATCCGTGCACGTGGTTGTGATAGGAGATCATTATAAAGCATTAGTGGAAGGCCATTATGTCTTCAGGAATGCTCATTAATGATTTATCCCAAGGCATCGCTGATCGGCCAAAAACGTCCATTACTGGGCCACTGTAGCCTACGCTGGTGTGCGGGAAGATAAGGGAACCCCTTTACAAACATCAAATGGCCTATAATGGCTTAGAAGTCTATCCATTGTTATGGAAAATGTTCATTTTATTCACCCTGTCATTAAATATACTGTAAATGGCGAATGTTATGGATTGTGACATTGATGTCTTCATGGCTGAATTGATAAACATCCAATCGACCGCAGGTCTCCATTACATACAATTATCCTACAACATTAGTAAAAGGAAAGAAAAGGGAAGCCAAGCAATCCCCACCCTTAAAGATTTGATCAGCAGCTAATAAGTTACGGAAGTAATAAAGAAGAGTATTCTTGGGCCTACTGCTCTGGACAATTATATTAGCATGCTGTCTCTTCCTGTTACGACCAAAAATAATCTGTTTAGGCATGAAGATGGTCGTCATCATGGTGAATCATAACGGTTTTGCATTGGCGAAATGATCAAACAAAAATGAGCTTTTCAAGAAATAGATTACAATCAGTCCTAATTAGTGCAGGGAGAAGGCTATTTACTATATTAACTACAATCTATATGATGCAGTCATATTATGACCCTGTCTATCATTAGGTAACGTTATAAAGAATAACTGACCACTCTTACAAACATAAACATTTCCACAGTCATTGGGAAAAGCTTCAAGGTAGACACAATAAATAGCCAGCTTCCAGAAACAATTTCCCATCATCTCTATCGTTAAAACGTCACCTCAGGGGAGTGATTTTCCAATACAATTCCAATCCTATAGTCTACATATTGTATTTGCAAGGTAGGCTATAGCAGGGACACCAGCATCAAAGGGAAAGCTATTTTATGTGCAGCATGAGCATCACAAACTGATGGTAACTTCTCTCTGTTGAGTTGTCACTCTTTATACTTTAATACTCTCCACTAGATGGAGCCAAATGAAAGTTAAATAGGAGCGAGTGAGGCAGGGGCCGTATCCATAAAGCCGGAGAGGCCTTGTGCCCAAATCCGTCTCCACACTGTGCGACACACAGTACGTCATCCATTTGAGCACCAGGCGTGTCCTTATAGCCTCTCTCTCATAAAGTGGCTCGGAGTAGGAGTACTGATCAAGGATCAGTTTTGCCTTTTTGATTAAGATTATATGGACAGGGGTAATCTGATCCTAGAAGCACCCCTACTCTGAGGCACTTTATGAATACGGGCCCAGAGCTCTGAGATGCTTTATGAATACGGGCCCAGAGCTCTGAGACGCTTTATGAATACGGGCCCAGAGCTCTGAGACGCTTTATGAATACGTCCCCGAGCTCTGAGACGCTTTATGAATACGGGCCCAGAGCTCTGAGACGCTTGATGAATACGGGCCCAGAGCTCTGAGGCACTTTATGAATACGGGCCCAGAGCTCTGAGACGCTTTATGAATAGGGGCCCAGACGCTTTATGAATACGGGCCCAGAGCTCTGAGACGCTTTATGAATAGGGGCCCAGAGCTCTGAGGTGCTTTATGAATATGGGCCCAGAGCTCTGAGACGCTTTATGAATATGGGCCCAGAGCTCTGAGAAAATTCATGAATATGGGCCCAGAGCTCTGCACACGTTCATAAAATGTGATACAAGATATCATCACCTAGTACTTCTCCCATGAAGGAAAAAAGCATTGAAGGATTACTGTGCTGCACCCAGCACCATTGAGACATGTTGAATATGCAGAAGAGCGACACAGACTCAGTTGTGAAATCCAAGGTGATTGCTGTGAAGCACTCGAGGGCAGGGCAGAAGGAAGCAGAATCAAATCTGTTCTGGATGTTGGCAGTTTGTTGTGTTTAGCAAGGGTCATCATCATCATCATCATCATCATCATTATCATCATCATCAGCAGCATATATTTTGGTTGTGTGGAGTGAAGATTGTGAATGCAGTTGTGGTAGAATCTATGTGTGTGCAACATTCAGAATCAGATCCATTTATGAAAGATTCATTCAAATACTGTAAATGGCAATACTTATTTTCAAAGCCCATTCAGCTATATTGCACAAGCACACACATGCATGT